GGCCAAACAGGAAATTAAATTCAAAAGTTCCCGGGGCTTTTCCTGTGTACCTGGCCAGTGCATCTGAGTCGAAAGTGCTGTCCAGAGCGGTCACAATGGAGCACTCTGGTATAGCTCCCGGAGGCCAATGCTGTCAAATTGTGTCCACACTACCCCAAATTTGACCCGGCAATGTCGATTTCAGCACTAATCCCCTTGTCGGGGAGGAGTACAAAAATCGATTTTAAGAGCCTTTTAAGTCGACAAAAATGGCTTCGTTGTGTGAATGTGTGCAGGGTTAAATCGATCTAATGCTGCTAACTTCAACCTAATCTTGTAGTGTAGACCAGGGCTAAGTCCCATTATAATCAATGGGAGTCTTTCCATTGACTTTAAGGGAATTGTACTGAGCCCCAAATGCACACTTTTCAGGAGACTTCACAACACACACTTTTTAAAAAAGGTGAAATGCAATGTAGGACCCAGTGTGTTACCCTGAAATTTAGATTTTGGGACACTGCTATAATAACCTGCCTATCTCCGCCTTAGTCTGTTCTTCCCTTGGGTTAAGGAAACACTAAAGGACATGGATATAACCCTCCCCTCTCCCCCGATAAAGTAATTGATGCAGGCAGTATTCTTTCCAAAACAAAGTATTTTTTATTAATGTAAGTAATAATCCCTACTACAATATGATCTAAAAAATCCTCAAAAAGATAAAATCCCTGACACCAATCCCTTATTCCAAGTTAAAGAACATTCAAATTACAGTATCATATAATTCAAATGATTCTAAGTGAAGTGATTTGTTTGTTACAAGTGGCCAGTTTGCAACAAATTGCTGACAGCAATTCTTAAATTACTTTGTTTTATATAAATAAAATACAATTAACACACACATTCCAAGCATACACATTAAATCCTATACTAAATTATACTATACTAAAATTTATACCAAAACCTGGCAAGCTGACTTTATAAATCCATTGGTATCCCTTTAAAATCAGTTACTGCTTTTAAAATCTTTAATCATTGTCGTTGTTCAGCTTCTGGTCAGTCAGCTTTGCTCTGCTCCAGTTTTCTTCTCTTTTTCTCTACAGCAGCTTTTCTGACTTCTTTACAGCAGCTTTCTCTTTGATCAGAAGATGACGGGGAACTGGAAGTCAGCAAATATCTTTCTCTTTCTCCAGTCCAGATCTTCTTCTTCTCTCCCCATCAACTGACTGCTCTGCTCTTTGTCTGGCCTTTTACACTCTCCTGGACTTCCTTACATACCCTTAAGAATTACCCCATTCGCACATGCACAGTACCAACCATTACCTCAGAATTATGACTGACAGCTCTTGCCTTTAAAACAAGTTGTGACCAGTATGAGTGGGCTATGACCAACTAGCTAATAAATTAACTGATATCTCTGTCATGCCTTACTCAATAGCCACCAATCTTGCACATGCTCACTGTTGTCATTTATTCTCTGTATGTATATATCTTCTTACTCTGTGTTCCATTCTATGCATCCGATGAAGTGAGCTGTAGCCCATGAAAGCTTATGCTCAAATAAATGTGTTAGCCTCTAAGGTGCCACAAGTACTCCTGTTCTTTTTACCTCAGAGCTGTGATTTTGCCTATCCACATACAGTACACACATACCTGGCTTTTTGCCAGGGAACCATTTTAGAAATCCTAGGTTTTCACTAAGCAGGCCAGGGTCTGCAGCATCCATTTCAGGGTGGAGTGATTTTTGCTTATTCAGAATAGAGATCAGAAATACAAAGTAGAGACTGGAGAATTTCCCTGGGAATAAGTGGACTGAATGATCTAACATGATGTTTGATTCTGTGTTGCAGTTACTACTATGCCCCTGTATCATATTTGCTTGTACAGCAAACATTGCTGATATTACTATTTGCTGCAGTCATTTTAGAGTAATGAAGGAATTTGGGGGCATAAAAATGGTTATTGGTTAGAGATGGGCTTTCTAACTGGGACCTTCTCTTAAACCTAGTGATGGTACCGGCACAGCACAGTAACCTAATGTTAAACAGCAACTATTAACATTAAACATTTTTAAATTGGCAGGACCAGATAACTCACACCCAAGAGTATTAAAATAGCTTACTATTAATGTTGATTTTAAACAAATCCTGGAACACTGGGGAACTTCCAGAGGACTAGGGGGAAAATCTAATGTTGTGCCAATTTTTAATAAAGGGCAAACTGGATGACCCAGGTAACTGTAGTCTGGCATTGATTCTGAGCAAAATCATGGAAAGGCTGATATGGGATGCAATCAGTCAAGAATTAGAGGATGGTAGCATAATTAATGCCAATCAACAAGGTTTTATGGAAGATAGCTCTTGTCAAACAATGTCTTTTTTGATGAGATCACAATAAAGGTCCTTTGGTTAATAAAGGAAACTGTTCACATAACGTACTTAAACTTCTTAAGACATTTGACTTAGTCACAAATGACATTGTAAAAAAAATTAACACTATACAATGTAGCCCATATTAAATAGATTAAGAACTAGTTAACTGATAGATCGTAAAAACTGTAAATGGGAAATTGTCATCTAAAGGGGGTGTTTTCTCGTGGGGTCCCATTGGGATTGTTCTTGACCCAATTCTATTAAATAGTTTTATCAGTTGTCTGGAAGAAAATATAAAATCATTATTAGTAAAATTTGCATATGATACAAAAATTGGGGGAATTTTAAATGATGGGAACAAGTGAGTATTACAGACCAAGCTGGGTCACTTAATAAAATAGGCCTTTTTCCAGCAACATGCGTTTTAATACAGCCAAATGTAAAGTCATACATTTATGAACAGGGAATGTAGATCACACAAGATGGGGGACTGCATCTTGGACTGGAGCAACACTGAAGACAAGTTAGGGGTCATTGGAGTTGGCAGTTGCACCTAAGCACCGAGTGCAATGCCATAGCTAAGAGGGCAAATGCAATCCTTGGATGTAGAAGCAGGAAAATATCAAATAAGAATAGGAAGGTGTTATTACACTCCATATATTACATTAGTGTGACCATTACTGGAATATTGTGACTCAGTTCTGGTACCCACACTTCAAAAATGAAAGTTTGAAAGATTGAAAAGGGTTCAGAGAAGAGCTACAAGAGTGATTTAAGGTCTAGAAAGCAAGTTTTATAGGAAGAAACTCAATCTCAATCCATTTAGTTTATCCAAGAGAAGGTTCAGTCGTGACTTGCTTGATCACAGGCTGCAGTTACCTACAGTGGAAGACATTTCTGATAGATGTGACAGATATTGAATAGTACACAGTATTGTTGGGGACCATATAGTTTTAAATTTATGAATGGTTTCTGTGTCACTGTGAGCCAGGGATCGTGTGCAACTCCAGTGGGTCAGGGTTAACACTGCTTCTCCAGGAAATAAAAAGAGCGAGTGTGGGGGTGATTAAGATGAATAACGCAGGCTGTGAACACTTCCAGTGAGGTACCATGCCCTGAGGAGGTTTGCATAGAGTGGTTCAAACTGGATTTTCCAGAGACTGACAGAGAAATGGCTTTTGGTATAAAAAGGCGGAGTTTAAACTGGGCACAGGGCTTTCTTCTGATTCAGCAAATGAACAACAACTTTTATCCAATAGGGGGTCCCGAACCCTTGCAGAAGGGCTGGAAGGCCTTTGGTCTACTAGGGCCCTATAAAACTGATGGGTGACCTCTAGTAAGCTTTTAGTGTGTGTACATGAACTTAGTATTGCAGAGAAAACATATAAAAACAAGCAGTTACCATAAGAATAAATGTAAATTTTTTTGTTTAGAACATGTAGAAATATAGAGCTGGAAGGGCCTCAGGAAGTCATCAATTTAAGTCCCCTACAATGAGGAAAGACAAAGTCAACCTAGACCATCATTGACCAGGTGTTTGTCCAACCTGTTCTTAAAAACCTCTAATGGAGATTCCACAACCTCCCTTGGAAGTCTATTCCAAAACTTTATAGTTCTAACCTTTATAGTTAGAAAGTTTCTCCTATTATCTAACCTAAACCTCAGTTGCTGCAGATTGAGCCCATTACTTCTTGTCCTGTCTCCAGTGGACATGGAGAACAATTGATCCCTGTCCTCTTTATAAAAGCCCTTAATGTATTTGAAGACTGGTATCAGGTCCCCCTTAGTCTTGTTTGCTCAAAGTTAAACATGATCAATATTTTAACTTTTCCTAAGCTTTGTATCATTTTTGTTCCTCTCCTCTGGACTCTCTCCAGTTTATCCACATCTTTCCTAAAGTGTGGCACCCAGAATTGGATGCACACTGTACTCCAGCTGAGGTCTCACCATGGCAGAGTAGAATGCAACAACTGTCTCACATGTCTTATGTGAGAAACTCTTGTTAATATGACCCAGAAGTATATTAGCTTTTTTCACAACTGCATCAGTATGGACTCATATTCAATTTGTGATCCACTGTAACCCCCACATTCCTTTCAGCAGTAATACCACCTTGCCAGTTATTCCCCCTTGTGTAGTTGTGCATTTGATTTTTTCTTTTATGTGAAGTACTTTGCACTCACCTTTATTGAATTTCATCTTGTTAAATTCAGACCAATTCTCCAATTTGTCAAAATCACCTTGAATTCTAACCTTGTCCTCCAAAGTGTTTGCAACCCCTCCCAGCTTTGTGTACTCTGCAAATTTTATAAGCATACTCTCTTCACTCCATTATTGAAGTCATTAATGAAAATATTGACTAGTATCAGACCCAGGACCAACCCCTGCAGGACCCCATTAGATACACCCTCCCACTTTGACAGCGAACCCTTGAACTCTGAGTACAGTCTTTCAACCAGTTGTGTACTCACCTGATTGTAATTTCATCTAGGCCACATTTCCCTAGTTTGCTTATGAGAATGTCACATGGGATTGTGTCAAAAGCCTTACTAAAATCAAGATATATCACACCTACCCCTTCCCACTGATCCACTAGATCAGTAACCCAGTCAAAGAAGGAAATTAGGTTTGAAGGGTTCATGTAGCGTTCATGCACCTGGAAACATTCAGGGCACACCCTGACTGTTGTGTAGGAGCGATGCACACACTGCTCCGTCCAAGGACATGGACCATGGGAAGTCAACTAAAGGACATGAACCGTGGGAAGCTTCCTTGGCCTGGGCTCAAGGCCTGAGAACAAGGATTGTAGTAGATAGAGGCTGGTAAATAAGAATATTAATCAAAGTCATTTTATTTCCTTTGTTGATGCCTTCTGTGGTCGGAGTATGTATTGCGCAGGGGGAAGAGAAATAAAAGGAGAGCTGGAAAAGCTGACGGGGGCAATCCCGTCAGCAGACCAGCCTGCTTGGTTGCCTAAAGTCGTGTTCTGTCTTGTACTGAACCGCCACAACTGGCGCCCAAACGTGGGGCCCTCAGCACTCACCTCGCCCGGCAAGGGTTTCAGACGCGTCACTCATCCGCTTCGCGGATCCCGGTGAGTATTTTTCATTGTGGTAAGTATGGGAAGCTCCCTCTCTGCTTTGCAAGTGCAACACCGCAGTGAGCTACAGTATTTGCTGCGTAAGGCTCAGCACGACTGCCCCACTCGAGAACTCACTCTCCTGCTACAGGAGGTGAGTGCCCAATGCCCGTGGTACCCTGAAGCTGGAACCCCTAAGCTAGCGGACTGGGAGTGGTTGGGCCAGACATTGCACAAGGAGCCTCAGGCGCCCATGCAGGCTTTACATGCCTGGCACCTCTGCCGCGACGCAATACAGCGTGTCGCCTCGGAAAGACCCTCTTCCGCACCAACAGAGGGGCTGACGATCTCGCCACCCCCATCCGCTCCTGCAACCATTCCTCCCCCTGCTTCGCCCCCAGTGCCTCTATTACCACCGCCTCCCTGGCCTTCCCCACCGGAGCCGGTGTGTGATCACCCTCCCCCCGTGGGGCCCCATGCTTCGGGGCCCCCCAGGGTCGTCCGCGTCTGCTCAGGGGCTTTCGCTGGTGCAACAAATGGTTCACGCAGCGAAGACTCGCTCAGATATTACAGCAGAGGAGCTGGCTGATCTGGTCTCAGTCTGTCCAGTGACCTGGCAGGATGATGGCCAGGGCAACCAGGTTGCAAACTGGGTCAGTTTGCCTTACTTGGTGATCAGAGAGGTAAAGAAAGCGATTCGCGAGTTCGGCCTGACCAGCACGTATGTGCGTGGTCTCATTGAAGGGCTAGGTTCTGGGTATTCCCTGGTCCCTGGAGACTGGAAGGTGCTGTTGCGCATGATGCTGACGCCCAGTCAGTATGTTATTTGACTTAGTGAGTATCGGCAGATGGCGGAACGCCAAGCCCAGGTATATAGAGAGCAAGGTATCATTTATGAGCACTTGGCAGGGGAGGGCCAGTTTGCTACTGTTCAGCTGCAGTCTCAACTCCCTCAGGCCGTCTTCCCCATTATTTCCACGTGCGCCCAGCATGCTTTCCGGAAGGTCCCGGATTCGGGCAAGCCTTCCAAAAGCTTTGCCAGTATCCGTCAGGGTGCGTCAGAGTCCTTTATGGATTTTACCAACAGATTGCAGGAGGCTATCCTCCGACAGGTGGATAGCCCTGCAGCAGCTCAGGAGATCCTGTTAAAAATGGCGGTTGAAAATGCGAAAGAGGATTGCCGTCGTGCTCTCCAGGCGGCACAAGCCGCTGGCGTTCTAGAGCTGTCGGACATGCTGCGGGCGTGCCAAAACATCGGAACCCAAGCCCATAAAGCTGGAGTTCTGGCTGCCGCCCTGAGAAAAAGCGGAAAGGAGGGGAAGCGTTGTTACCACTGTGGTAAGGAGGGTCATTTTCAGCGGGAGTGCCGCTCATCGACGGCGTCCGCTCGCCCCTCAAAGAAGTGCCCCAAGTGTCGGAAGGGCTATCACTGGGCTAATCAGTGTCGTAGCGGGTCGGGAAACCGCACGACGGGTCCCCCCCAAACCCAGGGCCAAATGGGGGTGTTTCCCACTCAGACAACTGTTCCTCTGCTTTAAAACCCATAGACTCCATGAAGGCGGTGACTGCCGGAAGTGCAGGGCTTGATTTGATTATGCAGGAGGACGCTGACTTTCGGTTGCCGGGGGAGGTTTGCGCCATACCTGCACAGGTGACGGGACCTCTCCCTGCCGGATTTGTGGGTCTGGTTCTCCCTCGCTCACACGCTGGGAAACAGGGTTTTTTTGTCATCCCAGGGGTCATTGACGCCGACTACACCGGCGTTATTAAGGTTCAGGTATAGACCCATCTTCCACAGTCACTCCCGCGTGGACGGTCAATTGCGCAATTGCTTTTAGTCCCCTATCAGGTGCCAGCTGCAGAGGATCGAGCCCGGGGCGGAGGCGGCTTTGGATCGACGCTGGCTTAGTCGCCATCTCACAACACGTCCTCTCCACTTGTGGCTCTAACAATGTCGGTCCGCCCCTCGAAACTTCAGTTAACACTTCTCTTAAATAATGTTCCTTTTACAGGGCTGGTGGACACTGGAGCTGACGTTACGGTGATTCGTGATCCGGAGTGGCCGGTCAGTTGGCCGACAGTTCCTTCTAAAGAGTTGTGAGGGATCGGGGGTAGTAAACCCGGGTGCCAAAGTTTGTCTTGGGTCACGGTCTCTAAACCGGGAGGCCGTGCCCTTGCTACAATCCGCCCTTTTGTGCTCCCTGTCCACCTCAATATTTGGGGCCGTGACTTACTTACAAAGCTGGACACCACCCTCGATATTAATATATAATGGCCCAAAACCCTCACGCACCCACCTTGCCCTCCGCATTACCATTGGTGTGGCAATCCTTAGAGCCCGTATGGATTGACCAGTGGCCCCTCCCTCTAGAGAAGCTGAAAGCGCTTCATTCGCTTGTGCAACAACATTTGCATGCGCAGCGCTTGGAACGCTCCACTAGTCCTTGGAACACCCCGGTGTTCGTTATTAAGAAAAAATCTGGTGCATGGCGGCTGTTACATGATTTAAGGGAAATAAATAAACGCATCCAACCCATGGGCCCCTTACAATTTGGCTTACCGAACCCAAATTTAATTCCTCAAACCGATCAGCTTTGTGTGTTAGATTTAAAAGATTGTTTCTTCACCATCCCCCTTTGCCCACAAAATCGTGAAAAATTCGCATTTACGGTGCCACAATATAATAATCAGCAACCCTCTCATAGGTATCAGTGGAAGGTCTTGCCCCAGGGAATGCAAAATAGTCCAACCTTATGTCAACTTTTTGTGGATTGGGCCCTCACCCCTTTTCGTGCCCGATACCCCACACTAAAGGTTTACCATTATATGGATGACATTTTGCTTAGTGGTCCCCAGGTCACGGCAGAACAGCTTGAATCTTTGTCCCAGATTCTCGGCCAAAATGGCCTATTGGTGGCACCAGAAAAAATCCAACGCTCTTATCCCTACCACTACCTCGGGCATAAGGTTTTACAAACCTATGCCGCCCCTGTTTGCCCGGAATTGGTTCTACCTCAACCCCTAACCCTTGTTAAATTACAACAGGTTTTGGGTCATTTAAATCGGATTCGACCCTACTTCTGTCTCCCACATCAATGCTGCAGCCGTTGTTCGAGCTCCTATGTGGAGCTTGGGCACCGGGCACAATTATTGCCATCACTGAGGAGCACATTGCCTGCATTCGACAGATCAATGCAGTATCGAGTCAGCAGTTTGTGGATAGACTCACTGAGGTCCGTCCCCTGCGGTTGGTTCTCCATGCCACCCCTCATACGCCTACTGCGGCTCTGTTTGTACCTTGTACAGACATGGCCGTCTCTATCATAGAGTGGATATATTTGTCATCCACTCCTCCTCGGAACATTTATCCTTATTTAGACGCCCTGTCCGATCTTGTTCGTAAAGCCCGCCACCATGCAGTACAACTCACGGGCACTGATTTAATTGCCATTGTGTTCCCCTTGTCCCGTAGTGAATTTGATTCCTTGTGCCACACCTCCTTGGCCTGGCAGGTTGCTCTTTGTGATTATGTGGGAGAGATCTCTTATAATCCCCCAAAAGATCCTCGGTTAGTGATCACACAAAAGGTACCCTTAATCATACATCATCTTAACCGCTCTCAACCCATTGTTTCAGCTGTCACTCTTTTTATTGATGGCGCGCCACGTCGAGGTGTTGTCACCTATCAATTAGGTGACCCCCCTCGTTGGCATTCTCGTTTTACGCTGCCTCAGCATTCCGCGCAGCGCTCAGAACTGGCTGCTGTTGTTTTGGCCTTTCAACTTTTTGCTGATTGTCCCTTTAATTTGATTGTGGACACCCATTATGTTTATCAGGTAATTGATCATTTACCCCTAGCCCTCATTACCCCTCAGGTCGATGCAGACCTCCTTCGCCTGTTTTTGTCTTTACAGTATCTCATCACCACTCGTAATTTCCCTTATTTTGTTGCTCATATTCGCAGTCATACCCCTCGGCCTGGGCTACTCACTGAGGGCAATGCGCACGCTGATCGCCCGTTACGTGGTCAGGTAAATTCCCTTTTTTCTGACCCCATTGAAAGCCATGCCTTTTTTCATCAGTCTGCCTCTGTTTTGGCCCAGCAGTTTCACATTCCTGCTGATCATGCACGTTCTATTGTTCGTTCCTGCCCCCACTGTGCCACTGCTGCCCCTACCTTTTCTTGTGCTGTTAACCCCAGAGGTACCGCAGCGAATCAGCTGTGGCAAATGGATGTCACTCACGTGCCACAATTCCGCCCCTATTCGTTTTTACATGTTTCCATTGATACCTATTCGGGATTCCTCTGGGTGACCCCACAGCGTGGAGAAGCCACTCCAAAGATAGCCAAAATTATTCACCATTTGCTAGCCTGTTTTGCTGTTATGGGTCGCCCGAGCCAGATAAAAACGGATAATGCCCCAGTCTATTGCTCCACAGCCCTCTCCACTTTTTGTGCCCAATGGGACGTCCGTCTAACACACGGGATCCCTTATAATTCCACGGGCCAAGCTATTGTTGAACGTGCAAATCGCACGCTGAAAACCTTGCTTGATAAACAATTAAAACAAGGGGAGCAGCGTCTCCGAACCTTAGGAGACATTCAGCAACAATTGCTTATCTTTTTGTTTACTTTAAATAATTTAACGCTGAATGCAGATCAGCAGACCCCCACGGATCGGCATTTTAATAAATCTGAGGTACTGGAAAGACCGCATGTCAACTACCGTCAGCTGCCCGACCCGCAATGGCTGGGCCCAGTACCTCTAATCACTTGGGGTCGGGGATATGCTGCTGTGTCTCTCCCTGCAGGACCGTTGCGGGTTCCGGCCCGGTGTGTGCGACCGGCACTGAAGCAGCATGGCGTGGCACCAGGGACTATCGAACCTCATGCCAGAGTTTCAGCTGACCCTGGAGGAGAGGCGGTGCCTCCCCGGGTTGACAACGACGGGACGGAAACGGAGGAGGCGTAGCGTCCCAAGCCAGCCCATGACATGGGGAGCGGTAAAAGCATTGGTCGCCACAGCTCAACGAAGACTGGCAGCAAACCAACAGCCAGAGACTCCTGAGACCTTGTTTGTGGCAATTCTCGCCCAAATTACTGCTAATTCTGTATTGATTGTATGCCTTTTATGCTTAATATTTCCTGTAGGGGTTGGCTCAGAAGCGCTTCCTCCGTTACAGGCCCGAATGACATATAACCTATGGGAAAGATTGGCTTCGATAGCAAATGTTACCCACTTTTGTTTATCTGATTCTGTAGCAGCCAGAGAACTGTTAGGTACATGCCTCATTCCAGTATGTCATCACCCTGAGGAAATAGGGAATGAGACGATGCTCGCTGCTTACGCAAATCTCTCTTCCCAGTACTCTGGCATGGCTAATTGGGGCCCGGCCAACTATACTTTGCCTCACACGGCCATATCCCTCCACACACCATATCCGGCCGGGGCCAACAATGTCACCTGTGCGCGTGTGGTTAACTGCACTAGTACAAAGGTGCCCTTAGGCTGTCGGCAAATTTCTCAACCCTTTTTAAATTGTTCCCACGCCGTGAATGTTTCGTACAATTATGGCCATATCATCCTACCATCCGGGTGGTTTTTTACCTGCGGCTCACGCACCTTTAGTTATATTCCCGCAAATTTAAGTGATGGCACCCTTTCTTGCCTCAGTAGAATGACACTCATTTTGCCTTTTGCCGGCCAAAAGCGCAGTAAAAGAAGTATACCCCTTTCAGAAGATTGTGTTGCAGATGTCGATCTTTTCAGCCGCTCTGAGTATACCGCCTTAGCGGCCTCTATTGTTGGGGTCCCCGGGCTTGTCACTTATACAGCCAGAACTTTGAATGCCCTGGCGTGTTTTGCGGCAAAGGCAATTAATACAACATCCCAGGCAATTGCCCTACTTAACACAGAGCAACATGAATTAAGGGATGCAATTCTGGATAACAGAGCAGCCATTGATTTTCTGCTCTTGAAACATCATCTAGGCTGTTCCACGTTTCGGCATATGTGTTGTTTTAATTTAACTGATAATAGTTGTTCCATAGAAACTAGACTGGCCGAATTGGCCAATCTTACAGCACACATACACCAAGATCTGGGGTTTGAGGGCTTTTGGAATTGGCTTACAGGTTGGCTGCCCTCTCTAGGATGGCTGCGACAACTTTTCGGTTATGCTGTGTTTGTGATTGTTGGGCTTATTTTTTGCTGTTGCTGTATACAATGTATTCCCTCTTTGCTAAGGCTTTGTAGAGACCCGCCCTGGCAGGCTCCCCGAGTTATGTCCTTGTCTGTCCGGGAGTTAAATCGCTTGCAAAAGCAAATTGATGGCTACCATGAGATGGCCAAGCACAAATAACAAAAAAGGGGGGGATGAAGGGTTCATGTAGCGTTCATGCACCTGAAACATTCAGGGCACACCCTGACTGTTGTGTAGGAGCGATGCACACACTGCTCCGTCCAAGGACATGGACCATGGGAAGTCAACTAAAGGACATGAACCGTAGGAAGCTTCCTTGGCCTAGGCTCAAGGCCTGAGAACAAGGATTGTAGTAGATAGAGGCTGGTAAATAAAAATATTAATCAAAGTAATTTTATTTCCTTTGTTGATGCCTTCTGCGGTTGGAGTATGTATTGCGCAGGGGGAAGAGAAATAAAAGGAGAGCTGGAAAAGCTGACGGGGGCAATCCCGTCAGCAGACCAGGCTGCTTGGTTGCCTAAAGTCGTGTTCTGTCTTGTATTGAACCGCCACATAGGTTGATTTAGCATGATTTGTTCTTGACAAATAGATGGCACCTATTCCTTATAACCCTATTCTCCTGTAGATGCTTACAAATTGATTATTTCTTTTTTTCCAGTATTTTTCCAGGTAGTGAAGTTAAATTGATTTGTTTATAGTTCTCTTTGTCCTTTTTGTACCCTTTAAAAAAAAAGATAGGCAAACATAGTACCATTCTCCAGTCCTCTGGGACCCTATCCAACCTCCATGAGTTCTCAAAGATAATTGCTAATGGTTCCGAGATTGCCTCAGCTAGTTCTTTAAGCACCCTAGGATTAATTTAATCAGGCCCTGCCAACTTGAATACACTTAACTCATCTAAATATTCTTTAGCCTGTTTTTCCCCTATTTTGGCTTGCATTCCTTCCTCCTTGTTGTTAATATTAATTGTGCTGAGTATCTGGTCACCATTAACCTTTTTAGCGAAGACTGAAGCAAAATAGGTATTAAACACCTCAGCCTTGTTGATTTCATTATTAGCTCTCCTTCCCCGCTAAGCAGAGGATCTATGCTTTTCTTTGTCTGTCTCTTGCTCCCAATGTATTTAAAGAAGGCTGATTAGTACACTGTTGCAATCCCTGCAGAAAGGTTAACCACAGGTGCCAGTTCCTAGTCAGACCTGCTGGGGAAATCACAGTGAGGTGCAGAAGTGGGACTGTAAGAACTGCAAGCCTACATGCCCAGTCTTGAGGGAGAGAGATGCAGGTCTCTGCCCAACAGAGGTTACAATTAAGAGCCTGAAACCTTAAGTGGGTGCCCTTGAGGAAGACTAGGGGCAAGGGGTGTGCTAAGGTACAGCTAACCCTGAAACTCTGACAGATGGCTCATTAGCAGAAAAAGGCATAACAAAGTCCAATGTATGGAAGCTGATTTTAGAAAAATTCAGGCTAGAAATAAGGTGCATATTTTTAAAACAGGTTTCAGAGGAACAGCCGTGTTAGTCTGTATTCGCAAAAAGAAAAGGAGTACTTGTGGCACCTTAGAGACTAACCAATTTATTTGAGCATGAGCTTTCGTGAGCTACAGCTCACTTCATCAGATGCATATGAAGTGAGCTGTAGCTCACGAAAGCTCATGCTCAAATAAATTGGTTAGTCTCTAAGGTGCCACAAGTACTCCTTTTATTTTTAAAACAATAAGGGTACTTAGCCTCCAGAACAACTACATAAGTGGATGTGGTGGATTCTCCATCACCAGAAATCTTTAAAGCCAGACTGGATATCTTTCTAAAAATATATATATACACACACACTATAGCGCTCAACCAGAAAGTATGGGCTTGATGCAGAAGTTACTGGGTAGGGTTCTTCAGCCTGTGTAATACAGGAGATAAAACTAAATCATAATGGTCCTATCTGGCTTTAAAAAAAAAAATCATCTAATATTCTATCTTAGCAGCATTGTCAAATGACGAGGTGGTAGTATTTCCTCTGAGTCAGCACTTCTCTAATGCCTCATCATAGCATGTTTTTAAAAACTGTAGTTTTAAAACTGTCTCATAACAAAACCTATAGAAAAGAAAGTTTTAATGATTCATTCTCTTTAATTTGCCATTGAAACAAGAATCACAACTTTAAATTTTCAAGTGATGTTGTAAAATAGATATTGAAGACTATATTGAAAGTACTTTATTGAAAAATTAAGAAGTTGGAAGTGTCTGGCTACATGACGGGTAAAACGAGACATTAAAAGTTTAAAATTTTTTTCCCTTTTTTCAAAAACTTATCAAAAATACACTAAGTTAATTTAAGATATGTACATGAGAAATCATCAGCTTAATTACTGGGCAAAATGACAATATTACTTTCAAAATATGCATAATTAATAAAAAGACAGACAAGATCAGAAATTGAGAGAGAGTAGGGAAACCTATGTTCCTTATAACTTTAGAGTCTTTTTAAATTTCTCTTGCTTTGGGCACTTCCTGGAAGAGCATCTTTTTTATTTCGCTGCTTTGCAGATGCACTACTGCATTCTTTTGACCCATGGAAGGTGCACAAACACAAAATACAAAAGTCAAACGCACAGGCTTCTCGGCTACATAGTCCCCTTTTCTTTAAGGGTTGATACTTAGCTGGGCACTGACATCTTGGACAAGGTTTTAAAGCTTCATCAGTAAAAAGGGTTTTGGCAATCTGTGTCAAGAGGGGAGAAAACAACATTTAATACCTGCAGTTCTTGACTGTACATCTTAAGAAGTCTAAGTAATCTTTATTTTCAATGCTAACAACGAGCTACATTGCTTACCTTAAGGTACTCTTCCTGTTTACTAGTTGACTGGGGAACAGAACTGCATCCTGTAGGTGTTAAAAGCTCATTGCAATAAGGTGGTGTTTGTAACACAGCAGTTTTAGCTTGAGCTTGAACAGGTCTTAGAGCAGATCTACTTAGAATATTAAGTCTTGTGGCAGCATCTTCAACATGCAAGAGACATCCCTGTTACAGATGATGATTATAAGAAGAGAAATCAGCTTCAATGAGTACCAAGATAACTAGGGCTTTGTTTAATGTAGCTTTGTTTTTGTTTTAGAACTATTTTTATTTTTCACAATAAAGAGGTACAAAATGTGTAAATTTCTTCAAGTAAAAGTTTAGTATTTCATGGACAGGTGGACAAAACAAGATCCATTGGAGGAAATATCGTGGTCTATAAAGATCATTTCAGGGTGACCAAATAGACTCTCCTTTATCACTTACAAGACCTCATCTCTCCCTGCAACTCCCTCTGATATCTTTCCTATTTCAGAAATCTGAATAGTAAACACTTCCAACTGCTTATAGGATAGTCACTTGACATCAGGTCACTTCAAAGAATCCCTACCCTAGAGGTAAGTTAAGCCACAAAGGAAAAACAAATCAAACAATTGGAAAGGAGTCACAATTTTAGTCCTACTGGACCTGCAAGCAGTGATTAAAATGGAAGAAGAAAAAAAGTTGGTGTTGAAATGGGACATATGAGAGATGAAGAGGAAGGGACAGGATTTTAAGCCCAAAACCTGGTTCACTTTAAATTTGTTATAATTTGAGGAAAGTCCTATTGATTCCAAGCACTACATGTTTTAAAAACATTTTCCTTGAAGTGTGGCTAGAGCAAAAAGACTAAAAATGACATTTTTACTCAGAATGGTTCTCTACGTGTATTCTGAGTTATATCTACTGGGTAAAGATTTTACAACTCTCATTGTCAGCTGGGAGATTTCTGCAGTTCGCTAGGATCTTTATATTCTTCCCCCTACCCAAATCTTTCCAACACGCCCAATATTTAGAAAAATACTGCCTTTGGGAGATACATTACCCCAGCTTCCGCCTTCAGCTGTTTGATGTACAGCTTTCTCCTGAGATATGCATTTTTGTCTTGTATAACAATTTCACGCCAGTTCTTGCTTACTTTCCAAATACTGAAACAAAAACCAAACAAAATATCATCCACCTTTCAAATCTTGCTTAGGTTTTTATGAGTGGTATAGTTTAAGATCCAATAAGACTAAAAATTAACCCTTTCCAATTTTATCATGACTTAAAATGTTATCTTGATCATTTTGAAGAATATTGCAATATACTGTAACAAACTCCACTTTATAGACTTGACTTGAAACATAACATTGCCTCATATATTCTTCTGCATCACCATTGCAAAATCATTGACTGCTTTGCATGGGGTAGGAGAATGGGGTGGGTTGAGAGCTGAGGGGAAGAGGGTTGGAGCAGAACTAGGGGGCTGGATCAGAGCTGCTGAGTTGTGGGAGGAGAGGGCTGGAGTGGAACTGGAGGGGACCAAGGTGGGAGGACTGCATCAGGCCTGGGAGAGCTATGGCTGGACTGAAGGAGGAAGAAGCTGGGGGAGAAGGTATCTGGATAGGCAGGGAGCTAAATAGGAGCTAGGTGATGGGGGCGGGGCTGGAAGGAGGTGTATTTTGGAACTGGGAAGGGAGCCCCTAACGTATTATTACACCTGAAGTCTCTGGGGTCTTGTTATGCTACTGATTTTTTTACTTAAATATTTTAGACTTACAATATTACAGCATCATAAACTGATGCTCTGGGAACTGAGCTGAGCTTAACATTTATGAATATTTTCACTGATTACAAAAACAAATGGAAATGAATACCCTAAATCTTTATTATTAGATAGATGAAAAAACATAATTACAAGTACCTCAGAGACTAACAGATTTATTTGAGCATAAGCTTTCATGAGCTACAGCTCATTTCATCGGATGCATGCATGTAGCTCACGACAGCTTATGCTCAAATAAATTTGTTAGTCTCTAAGGTGCCACAAGTACTCCTTTTCTTTTTGCTAATACAGACTAACACGGCTGCTACTCTGAAACCTGTAATTACAAGTGACATTCTCTTTTTTACTTCAAACACATCATTAGTAAATTAAATGTTATTTTTGTTACATGGGAGTAATACTGTTCAGGCCACTGTTCCAACTCCCCAACTCGTTAGCAGGGAAAAAATGCTTAAATTTTCAAAATTTTGAAAAAGAATATATAGTTGTATTTCTTACCTGCATAGGCTTTCCACAGTCAAAGCACCTAGAACTATAGCAAGAATATGCTTTAAATCTCTGTATTTTAATTCTGTTAAAATATCTAATTTTTCAAGGCCCATTTTCTTGCCTATGAGTCCAGCAAGAATATATTCTAATACAGACATTTCAGCTCTCTCAGTGTTCTCCAAGAGTCCATTTTGCTCTGGTCTTTTTCTTTTGCTTCGCAAGAAGATTTCACGGACTACTTGTAAAGCAGGTGTTCTTGATAAATCTCCAAGATTTAGAACCAAATCTCCATTATTCTCCTCATTAAAAACCAATCCACTGTCTTCACTGGCAGAGTCTCTTGCTATTTTTAATTTATATTCTGAATTAATTAGCGTAATATCATAGTCTTCCTCTGTCTCAGACTGCGAACCCCGTTCCCGAAGGGTGGATAACCTCCTCACTCGGTCTAGTTTTCTTGACTTTCTTTTAGCATCCAGAAGTTTGGAAACTTCCTTTTGTTTTTGAAGGAGTTCTTGGAAAGATCCCTCATGATCTGAAGAGGAATCTTCTGATTTATCTAAGCCAAGGGAATTAAACCCACTGTCTTCAGGCACTGAAAGCTCCAAGTCACTTACCACATGAGTAGGGGGAGTATTTATGTCAAGTAAATCAAAGTTAAAATCTGCTGTTAGGTTGCTGACTGGAGTCAGAAATTTATCCTCATTCGTCTCAGACAACATACAACATGTAGGGGTTCTAAGCAATTCCAGAGAGGTGCTTTCATCATTAATGCTTGTAAGGGAACTATCACTAAGCTCATTAGGAGTCTTGTCAATAATAGTGTCCTTAGAAGTATTATGGTGAATTGGAGATAAACATTCAGGTTCTGACAAGAAGTTGTTTTTACATTTGGAATCATCTACTGTAGAAGTCCTTTGCTGTGAAAAGGCAAGCCTCAATTTTTGGCAAGCAGGACTAGACTCCTCAGTTTTTAAAGTGCTAGTAGCTAGAGGTTTGTAAGTATTATCTCTTGGAGAATACGAAGAACTTTTTGAAAGTCTTTCTTCAAAACTGAGAACACAAGATAATGTTTTTTTCCTACTGCAATCTGAAGAATTGACTTGCCTTTCCAAGCATCCTACAGTGCCTCCCAAAGCAGTTTTAGACAGAAGCAGTCTCCTACGCAGTGATGAGTCTTTTTTACTTACTTTAGGAGTTTCCAAAAAATCTGTAGCTATATTTGCCTCTTTTCTTTCAGATAAGGAGATAGGATTATTTTCAATGGGAGACAACACTGGAATTACTAAATTAGGGTATGAATGTTCAGAATAATCATGTAGTAATGATAGACGTCTTGTGCTCAGTTCATCTTTATGTTCTGCATCAGTATGATCAAAGCTAGGATCTTTTAATGATACACTGTATCCACGATCATGAAATATGGAGGTGGAACAAGAGTCTCTAAAGCTGGAGTATTTCACATTGTTGCTGGGAGAAGTCAACCTGCCTCTTTTAAGAATAGACAGCACTGAGCGACTTTCTGACATCTTTCACTTGGAATTTCTCTGATTCTGTAAATGAAGACAGCATTTTATCTCTAGAATGAGCCATAAAGAACTTATTTTAAATACAGTTGCCAATGGATATCAAATATCTAAGATGATTTCTTTTCATTTAGGTAACGTTCTTTCACTATCAAAATAGTAACCATAGTGAAAAATATTTGTATTGCATCTCTGTGGAAACAGCACTCACGCTCTAGCATGAAGGATACACTATAGATATTTAAAAGGATAAATAGATGGTAAATACTTTACTGATGTAAAATAATGGGGATGAACCACTTAAAAAACATGGCATAAGAGAAATGAAGTAACTGAAAAAACACATCTGATTAGACAGCTGATCTACCAATCATCATCCATGGAGAATGGGTTCAGTCTGATCAGAGACAATAGGCAAAAGCTTGGCCCCACTGAGGTCAATAGCAAAACTTCCATGGACTTCAATAGGGTCAGAATTTCACCCTTCATGTACATAGAGTCCCTCTACTCTCCGCCAGTTCGATTCTTGAGAGCCAACAGGAGATTGAAACTCATGGGATTAGTCTATTTTATTTGTGCTGATGGCAAGATGGGAGAAAAGAAAAACTGCCCACAAAGGCTTTTGGTTTGTTTAAAGAAAGAGGGAACCCTGGTGGCTGATAATCCTAACTAATTGTCTAGAGAATCAGCAAGCTTCCACAAATGTATTCAGAGCCTCCAGTCCTTCAACACTGGAAACCATTGCATTCTGGTTGCACAAAAGGGACAGTCTAGTGTTGGTCACTACACTGCTCCAAGACATTTTCTTTACAACTCTGAACAGAAGCCACCAAGAATTTCTGATTAGTCTCTTGGTGATCTGGGGTAATATAGCTCCTACCCTGTGGTTATACGATTTATGGGCACTGGAGAACTAATTAGCACTCTCCCTGGGCATGTGGGGAGAAAAAAGATACTCTGCCCTATGGTAATAAGCTTTTTGCACAGTCAGAAAGGACACATTATTTTCAAGGGAACAACAGAAGCTCTTAGGTGCTTATGTGATTTCTCTCAGAAGGATACGATTACCTGAGGCATTGATTGCTATTTCCATATAGACATAAAAAAGTATTCCCTCTCCTTCCCAGATCAGACTAGCAAGGACATAGACCAGGTTACTATTTTGTGAGTCCAGGACACAGCAGACATGTAAGAATATTTTGAGTAATGCAACCATACGGACAAAGATCTCATGAGCCACCAAAGCTAGCAAAATAGTTACACATCTTTTGATTCCAAGCTTTGCAGCAGTGTATAACAGTTTCTAACTCTAATAATTTGGGAAATATACCTAGAGATTGTCACTGGTCTCTCATACCAGACAAAAATATGTCTTCATAGGCCATTTACCAGAGTGGGATGTCTTCAGTGTACCAAGGACCCTGAGCTAGTTGGGCATCCCACTACGAGGAAAAAACTAGTTGTGGCACCCTTTGTTATGTAGGATTATCCTTTGACGGAGTTAGGGCGTTGAATTACCCAATACCCCAGAGATGAAAGGTCCCTTTTTTTTTTTTTGCTAGTGGTGGATGTGTTAAGGGGAGAGTTTTTCTTTGTAGTAAAAGACCACAGCACTCTGTGTCTGGGGAAATGAACGCTTAGGTAAAGGGCAAGAATAAAGTCGACACAGAGAACTGGCAGGTGTTGAGGCAAAAGAATGATCAGTAACATGGGAGGTAGGATTTTGCCAGTAGGATAATAAATGCTTTTAAGTGTAGGCTAGGGTAAAGATAAGATGATACATGACCACGCTTATATTGGGACCAACAGAGGGGGAGGGCCACACGCAAGAGGTCCAAATACCTCCACAGTTAGTCGATCAGAACAGGACACAAGGACATGGTAGACCTAGATAAACACATTGGGAGCGCTCAGAGCAGAGCCCCTACAGAGTACGTAACAGAAACATGCTGAGGGAAGCAATATGAATCAGCCAGATGACCTGAAAGGCACTCTGCCTGTAAAGAGACTGCCGAAACCCTTCTCAAAGGGAAGGAAACAAAGCTGTTTTAGCATTAATTGCTAAATAGTTTTAAATATCTTTTAAAATAGCCATTCAAGGCTCCAATGCTGCAAAAACATACTGTACATACTTATCTTTAAACACATTAATAGTTCCATTGCATTTAATGAGACTATGCATGCACTTAAAGTGAAGCATGTGCATAAGTGTTTGAAGGATCTGGGGCTTGCTTTCCAATACAGTCAAAATACAGTGGGAAAGGTGGAGAGGTGGGTAGGGAGGATGACGATATTTACTTTTAGCTCTAACATTACAAACAACTGAAAGTAGAGGATATCAAAAGCTGTGCTTAGGATGCTATACTTTTAAAGAAGTTGATCATTTCTCTTTGTCTCAAAAGGAACAGAAGGTAAAAAAAGGGTGGGGGGGGGGAAGAACTCATGTAACACTGTAACAGAGATCTGAACTGGCAGAGAGATAAGGCAAAAATTATTTTTGCCACATTAAAATAATATCCCAAAGCACTCCAAACTTAACCGAAAAAAGTGTGTGTGGAGTGGGGAGGGGAAAAGAGAAGAGCAATTCTGAGCTTATTATACACTTCCTTGGATTGACAACACTATATATTCTTAAAATTGTAGGGGAGAAGCACTGCAATAGAGCAGACTAACAGAACATGATCCGTAATTATTCTTGATAACGCTTCCTAACCTGCACCCCAATCTTGCAAACTTTTATGCACGTATTTGGTTTTTATTTCACTTGGAATACTCACAGTAGTAAAGTTCAGCTGGTGCATAAGATTTTGCAGGACTGAGAGCATAATGTTGCAAATTCAACATTAAAGGGAAAAAAAACCTTTTCAAAACTTACTAGTATACATTTACGCATCAAATTCATGCAAACCAAGTCTCATTTCGTTTGAGGATTGATATCTCCCACTGGAGTGAAATATTTTTCTTGGTAATTCAATGAAACATTTAAAACCTCCCTTAGAATTCCTTTTTCAAAGTTGTTTTAGATATGGTGTTTTAATAAGAGTTTTCTCCTTTAACACAAGGAAACAGGTTTAAATCCAATAATTTAGTAGCATAATGATATTTAAATGCTACACAGCACTTTTCAACCATAGAGCTCAGAGTACTTCACAAAAGGAAGTGTCATTATCCCCATTTCACATGTGAGAAAACTGGAAGCATGGTGAACCAGTGGCAGATTAGCCACTGGGACAACGGGCCATGCTCAGTGGCCCCAGCATATTGGGGGGCCCTGGCCTATTGGGGGCCCCATACCCCAACCCACTCTGCCCGCTCAGTGCTCCTGCCGGGGAGCTGGGTCAGGGTGTAGGGGCCTGCCCCGTTCCACCTGCCTGGGGCTCCTGCCGGGAGTGGAGTTAGGGCACTGGGGCTTACCCTGCTCTGCCCACCCTCTTGCAAGGGAGGGGAGCAAGCCCCCACACCCTGACCCCACTCCCCGGCAGGAGCACCAGTGGCTCTCAAACACAGTGGCTCTCAAACGGTGGTCTATGGACCACCAATGAGCTGCAGAGTGTTTCCTGACAGTCTACAGAATGAAATGTTTTGAGAACCAAGCTATGGAAGGATGAGGATGTCTAGAGAGGAGGTGTTCCATGTGAAGATCCCTCTTATGAAGTGGCCCAAGGATGCAATGATTACTAGGAAACAAAAGAGCATAGTGGCTAGAACAAAGAAGGACCAGAGGGCTGGGTCCTGAGCTGACTCTGCCACCGGCTTCTTTTAGCTTAGTAATATAAAAGGTGTACATTACCTACATCACCAAACTTATTTCTATCCTCCTTTCTCAGTGCACCTGCTATTTAGAGGAAAGGGATGGAGAAGAATTCTTGGTGCAGAGATGAATAGTTTTTTTCCAGTATTTAAATCAAGTCTGGTCTTTGCAGCAAACAAACTTTACCTGAAGATTCTCCAACATTCATCAAGCCCTGCAAGTGTCCCAACCTAATTGACCCAAAATGAGTCGTTGCACCCCAACCATATTAATTACTATGGCGGATGCTGTAGCTAAATCCCTCCTGCACAATGGGTTTGCTACTTACCCAGCTTTGTGAAGCAATGTGAGATCCTGGGCTGACGAAGCGCTCTCTGATGCGAACACCAGCCGCGTTACTTGACTGGGGGACAGCGTTCCCGAGTAAGGCAAAGGCAGGAGCAAAACTAAATCAATGCATTCCAAAGGTATTAGGCAGCTCGGAGGCAAAATCCGTTCAAGTCACAAAACAATTCATTTAACCACTTACTCTATGTGTTTATTAGCGGTAACCTCCGCAGTTAGTGCAACGAGGCTAATTGACTAGACCAACCACCTAAGGAATAACACCTGTAGGACTCTCAGTCACCTTGAATGATGGGCTCCAGGAAGGCAGGAGCTTCACCCCCGCATCCTTCTCCGGCAATTCACTGGTCAAAGGGAAACCTCTGCCCCACAATAATGGGGCTTCTCCGAGGGGGTCAATGGGGCTGAGCGATGGGGACTGAAGTTAACAACATGCTACAGGCCGGACGGGGAGCAGTGAGGGGCACCGACCCTGCTGCCCTGCGGGGCGCTGCTCCCTGCCTCTTGCCGCTGCAGCGCCGAGCGTCTCTAGCCCCCAACCCCAGCGCGTTGCCCTGGTGAGGAGCCGCCGCCTCTAGCCAGCACCAGTTCCTCGCATGCGGCTGCTGTTGGTTTCCCTCGCTTGGATTTGAACTGCCCGCCCTTATCAACCGCTGTAGCTTTTCCTCCGCCCCCTCAGTGCTGCCTCCTGGCACTGGGGGCCAGAGCAAAGAAGGGCTCAGGAGCAAACCCCGTAAAGGGGGAGGGAAGGAGACTACAGCTGTAATCCCCCTCCCCGCCCCCAGTAGTCAGCCAGAAAATATACAGTGCGTGTGATGGGGGCATCGGAGGGAGCTCTGTTGCAGAGACCGACCCCCGTTCCCCCCACCCTCAATACTTCCAGGGCTGTGTCCCTCCCCTTCCCCAC